TTCTGTTCGCCTCAGGGACTTCCTCCCAGGTGATAGTCCCCAGTTTCATCCCTGATTGGCTGTGTCACCGCAGGTTTCTGGCTGGGGGTAGGGTGGGGGATGGGGAGGGGTGTCCAGGCCTTGCTGGCTTCTAGCCATAGGGGCTTTGTTGTGCTGAGGACATGTGACTGGCCCTAAAGGGCACTCCAAGGTCAGAGCCACAGAGCCACAGTCTTGCGTTTTTGTCCTAGGACTCAGGGCTGGTTGCTGGCATTTGTGGAAGCGTGCCCTGGGTGGCATGACCTCGCATTCCCTTGGCAACCTCTTGTCCTCTGGGTTCATCACCTCTTCTCTGGACAGACGCTGGGCTTCTAAGCAAATCCTCTGCATTCACCCTGGATCTTTGGGTCCCTCACATCTGATGGAGCCCATGGGACCAGCCCTCCTAGTCTCCTCCTTCAGCCCCAACATCCCACTGCACTGGATTGGGGGTCAGTGTCAGTCTTCTTCCTGTCTTGCAAAGAGTGTTTGATTTAGAGAAGGGGCCAGCCCTTTCTGGTGGAGCGAGCCCTGCTCTAGCCTGGCGACAGGCTTCAGAAATACTATTTCCATGGCCCCCGCCTGCTCCCCAGGCTCCCCATCTTAGTAAATGGCAACTCTGGCCTTCCAGCTGCCCAGGTCAGAATCTTCAAATTGTTCTTGCTTCCTCTCCTTATATCCAATCCATGAACAAAGTGAGTCAGCTGTACTTTTAAAATCTCTCCTAAAGCTGTCCGAGCCCTGAGGGACTTCCTTTCCTCCCGGTGTAAATGACCCTGCTGGCCACATGACACCCTGCCAAGGGAATCAGGCCAGAGGTCAGGAGAAATGGATGTAGGTTTCGGATCTGCCCCATTGTGATGAATAATAAAACCGTCAGCTGCTACCGGCTGGTTGCTGATTATGTCCCAGGTACTAAGTCCTTTACGTGGATTATCTTATTCACTGTGTGACCTTGGGCTGATGACTTTACCTGTTTCTGTCTTTTCATTTCTAAAATGGAGATGACAACAGTCCATGGGGAGGTTGTGAGGATCCAGTGAAATGATGAACGTGAGAGTCTTTGGAAAAAGTACCAAGGAGTATATGTAGCCCATATTTTCCACAAAAATCCGACGTGATCATCTTCAGGCCTTTGAAGAGTTCACATTGCACAGAAGAGAGACGTTGGCGAAATTCCAGCTGATGGTGAATTTGATAGCCCAGCTTTGTGAGGGCAGAATGTGAGGCCCATGGTGGTGCTTTATCTGTCACCTGAGATCGGGGTGTCTGTCTCCCGGCACAAATGTGACACCTGTTGCAGGAGAAACAGGCCCTGGCAGCTGGCACTCTGGGAGGAGAGGTCTGGCCAGGAGCAGGAGGCATTCACTTATCAGAGGGCGAGTGACAAGTGTCAGTAGTTAAATCAGCACATTCTTTAGCACCACGTTCCCCCCGCCCCCCCGCCCCGGGGCTGAGCAATGCCTGGGGACCTGCTCACAGGGTTAAACAGAGGCAGAGAAATGGGAAGAGGAATTACCAGATGCCCAGCACGCTCATGCCTGATACGCATTCCGTAAATGTTCACAGCAGGGGTGGATGGACAGAGAGAGGACTGGAAAGTAATACCTGGGAAACAGACAAGGAGAGTGTGTTACCCATTGCTCTTTTACCCCTGACCCTGCTGGCCAACAGTTCACTTTCTCTTCCGGTCAGTAAGCAAAGGAAGAAGAGAGTAACAGAACTACTGGCCATTTGCAGTTTACAAAGTTATAAAGGGGCCTAAGCTCATATCTGACTCCTAGGTCTGGAACCCCAAACTCATTGAGGAAGGAGTGCTTACGGTGTATCAGAGTACTTGCTCAAGCAGTCACCATTTAAAAGTGATAGATAGACAATTAGATCTGACTCTAAAGCCTTGCTTGTCTTTCTCCTATACTCTGAAGTCTGCACAGGGAGTTTCCTACTCCTAAACTTACTAAAGGCTGGGCTGTTGACTACCCCAGTCTCTAAGTGTCTCAAAGCCATCTCAACACCTGTCACCAGGTGCAGCGCCCGGTTGGCTTTAACCTCATGGATATCTGCCCCCCTCCTAACCCTCCACCTGTGGATTTGTGCTTGTTCAGGGAGAGAACCACCTCTTACCTTCCTTTATAGAGAAATAGAGACAGACACTAGTTAAAGGTGATACAGATGGATTTTATTCAGTACTATCATGATATGGGAAAGAGATCTCAGGAGAGAACTGAACTCAGTTCTGAATACAGCAAAGATAGCTGGGGGTATAGCTAGCAAGCAGAGTGAGGGGGCCAGGAGATGGAAAATTACCAAGAGGAGACATTGGGGTGGGGGGGATTCTTGCTGAACTGGCTTAACAGGATTCTTGTCAGAGGTTGGCCCAGGGCTTATATATCAAGGGTGGGAAGATGAGGAATTGATCACGTATCAGAGGTGGGGGAGATTCGTCTTAGAAAGACCTAATAGGATTCTTCCTCAGCACGGGGCTGGACCAGCCAAGCACAGGGCCCAAGAACAAGGCTTACTCAGAAGGAGGGCTCAGAAGAGCCTGTCTATAATTTGGTCAAGGAGTCTTCATCATATAAATAAAAAAAAAAAAAAAAAAAAAAGGGCAGGGCGCCTGGGTGGCTCAGTGGGTTAAGCCTCTGCTTTCAGCTCAGGTCATGATCCCAGGGTCCCGGGATTGAACCCCACATGAGCTCTCTGCTCAGCAGGGGGCCTGCTTCCTCCTTCCCCTCTTCTCTGCCAGCTTTTCTGCCTACTTGGGATCTCTCTCTCTCAAATAAATAAAATTAAAAAAAAAAAAAAAAAGCAGAGTCTTCATCAATTCCCAGAAAATGCCAGTGATCGTTCATTGACCTCGGGCAAAGTCAAGGAAGAGATAACCTGATCATTCAGAGGCAGAAGCAAGGCAGAGCCTGCCCACCCCTCCCCACCGTGTGACTCACTCATTACCCAGCACCTGAGTTCCCCAACCACTAGCCAGCGCTTCTCGGATTTGGGAAGGGCGGGGGCTCTTAAATAAGATGTGTCTGAGTTGGGATTAACAGATGAACAAACTGCTCTCTCCTGAGTTCATCCAGAAATGCAGGGTGTAGGTCTGGGAGCTTGCTTTCTCTTCCTCCCTCCCATATCCGCACTTCACTGGCTCCAGAATCCTGCTTCCCCAGGACATCCCCCCCGCCCTGAACTAGTCTGACCTGTCCCTGCCTGCTGGCTGGCCAGCCATGGAAACAGGAGAGACCTTGATGGCAGAGGGATAAACCTGCAAAAGTCCCCATAAACATAACACGAGCAGAGGTCTGCACAGACCTTAAGGTCTGTTTAAGGTCTGTGCAGAAACCCAGAGAGGCACAGATCCCCAGCTGAGGCCTCTGCCCCTGGGACTCTTGAAAGTTTGTGCCAAAAAGTGCCCACAGGAAAAAATGTAGGCGGAATGAGAAAACGCTGGCTTAAGAGACAGGGAGACTCTCTGTTCTGATCCTGGCTTCGAAACAACTCCCTCTGTGACTTTAAAGTCTGTCTGCTCTTTCCCCGTCTGCAAAGTGGAGGTAATCAGACCTGGGTTATCTCATAAGATTCATTCATTCATTTATTCACTTATCTCTTTATGTAGCTATCTATTTATTTTACGGTGCGGGGGCACAAATGCACGCAAGCACATGCAGGGGAGGAGCAGAAGGAGAGGGAGAGAGAGAAGCAGACTCAAGCAGACTATGTGCTGAGCGTGGACCCTGATGCAGGGCTGGATCTCATGACCCTGAGATCATGACCTGAGCCGAAATCAAGAGTCGGACGCTTAACCGACTTAGCCACCCAGGAGCCCCTCTCACAAGAGCCTTATAAGGCTCAGAGGAGATAATTCCTGTGAGATGCTAAGTAAGCTTTAAAGGGCCCCACCAAACAGATCGGAAGAAAAGCATCCCCCGACCTCCCCACCACAGTCCCCCTCCTGGAGTCAATTACATAAACACTCACACGAAATGGTGGTGTCCCCCTGCTTGAGGGCTCATGTTCATACACTGTGCTCTTTTCCTCTGGCTGGTTGTCTGTGTCTCGACTGGGCTCACATCGGGTTTCTCAACACTTCTGTTCTGGGCCAGCTCTTGGCTCCCAACGGTCCGTGAGCATGAGTCTAACCTCTTCTGTGCGGTGCCCACCACACTGGGAGCTGTTGATGGAGCTGTTGGAGACAGAGTAGTAGCCCAGTGGGGGATCTGGACACTTGGGTGCCAGTCTCAGCCTCATCACTGTTTGTTACGTGAGCCCAAAGAAATCATTTGGCCGGCTGGGGTCCCATTTTCCTCATCTGAAATGAGGACCAGATGATCTTGAAAGCCTTTACTAGTTCCTGATAACTCTGTAATATGGGTTCATTGGCCAGCAGTGGTTTGGTTTCACATGTTCAAAGTCTGACAGTCATGGCCAAGTGGTCCCCTTGACGCGTGGGGGGCTCTGACCCGCACAGTGCTTTGCTTCGTGACTCTTTCCCAGCACCCCAACAATGTCCCTTTCCCTGCCAGCAAGACAATCCTGCTGTCTCCCTGGGCTCGGAGGAAGGGGATGGAGCTGGAAAGGGAGCAAGCTTAGTTCAACTGTCTTCAATGACCATTTCCCCACAGCGGCTTTCAGGAGAAATCGGCCTCAAAAGACAGTTGAAGAAGGGTCAGCCTGTAGTACTGGGCACCCTCCATGGACAGATGGATGGTGCTCCCATTTTCACCTGGCCTGGCTCCTTCTCTGATTATGGAAGACAGCAAATTTTAATGTGCTAGGAGCTCATTTCCTTTCCCTCTGGGCTACTAACCTTGGCCAAGTTGTAACTATCTTTCGACCCTCCCCCAACTTCATGCCCACCGTCGGAAGAGGTGTGAGGAGTGGCAGAAGGGTAGGAGCTTACCTCTTTTATTCCCCCCCAAACCTTGCAGACCTGTGAGGTCTTCATGTTCTGTTGACCTTATTTCTCTGTTTGTTCCCTTCCGTAGGATATGGCAGTTGGAGAGAACTGGCCAAGGCTCTGGCCAGCAGGAACATTCCAGCTGTGGATCCAAATCTCCAGTTTTATCATCCCCCGAGGCTGGGCCACCAGGTATGTGGTAGGGCCAGCCCATTTTCCCTACTAGTGTATTAGCATGAGTCCTCAGCTGTCCATGACCTTATAGCCTTAAGGGCATTCCTCTACTTTTCTGTGGTAAGAGAGGTCAAGGAGAGAATTCCTGGAATTGTACTCCGACATCACAGGATCTCATTAGCTGGAGTGGTAGAGATGTCCATCCTGTCCTCCTCAAAGCCTTCCTCAAGCAGCTCAAGAGGCCCAGAATTGAACTGCTCCAGGCATGTGGCCTTCGTCTCCAATAGTAGCCGAGGGCTTAAGGTAGAACTACACATCCTGCCTCTTGCTGGCCTGAGGCCTAGACTGGTGCCTTAATGATGATCCCAGATGCTCACTGCTAAGAGTCAGAGATGAGGAGATAGACATCATATATAGTTGCAAATGGCTGGAGGACAGATTTGCGATGGAGCATTTTTTCTATAGTGTTTCAGTGGGCAGTGGTCCCTATGGAGGCAGGAGGATCTCTGGGTGGGAATTAGGGAAATTGTGGTCTAATTCAGTCTGGAACCCTAAGATTGAGCCTCTGAGCCTAGAACAGACGTGGATCTCCAAGGCTGGGCCAGAACCAGACTGAACCCATGAACCTACACGGTGGGTAGGGAGGGGCTGGCATGTCCCAGGGAGCTTCCACTTGTTAGACAAATGAGTGACAGACCTGGGCAGAGTCCTGGAGGGATGTAGAGGAAGACTGAGGCAAGTCCCTGTTCTCAGAAGACTGATCAAATTAGAAGTTATTTTTCAAAAAAAAAAAAAAAAAAAAAACCAAGAAAAACAAAACCACGAGAGAAAAGGAAGAAAAAAATTTTTTTTTCCATATGGGAAGACAGAAAATTCAGGAAAGTAAAAGAACCCTAGGAGAGTATGCATTGATGAAACTGTAAGGGGGTGTCTTTCCGAGGGATACAAGGTGAATAATAAATGGGAGTGTCCCTTATATTGATAAGTTTCCTGGAGGCAGGGACCGTATCTCCCTGCCCTCTACCTCCCCACAGGCACTTTCAAGGGGCCCCCAATCCTAATGTTCCCATGAAGTTCATTCTTCACTCTTCTGCCAGGACCAAGACTTGGAGCGAGGTGGGAGTGGTAACAGCAGCTACCTGAAGTGGAATAAGCCTGTCCCATGGCTCTCAGAGGTAAGGGGTTCTCTACTGTTCCTGTTCTTGGAGACAGTCAAAATACAGTTTTCACAGGTAATTCCAGAGACCGTAGACAATTTTGGTCTGGTGGTTATTATTAAAAATTCTCACCTGGGGCACCTGGGTGGCTACTCACTTCAGTGTCTGACTCCTGATTTCGGCTCATGTCATGATCTCAGGGTCTCAGATCACCATCACCGAGGCTGGGCTCTGCACTGGAGTTGGAGCCTGCTTAAGATTTTCTCTCTCTCCCTCTGCCCATCTTCTCCTGCGCATCCCCCACCACTTGTGGGCACTCGCTCTCTCTCTCTCTCTACTCCCCCGCCCATGCCCCCTAAAAATTTTTTTTACCTAATTTGAAAAAATAAAAAGGGCTTCAGGTTCATTCAATTTTCTTCCTTTAGAGGAGAGCATTTGCTCCAAGCCTGTTGTGTGCTGGTTTTAAAAATCTCATCCCTTATCAGTTTTATGACCTGTAAGGTAGTTGTCATTGTTCTCATTTTATAAGTGAGAAAAAACAGGACTCAGGAAAGCTACGTGACTTTTACATCTACATCATTCTTAAAGATAGCCTTCCTGAACTGTCTTTCTTGGACTAGTAAGCCTCATAAGGCATTCCAGGAAGAAAGGAGTCTGTTGTCAAAGAAGGCTTAAACACCTTTATATTACATCCAGTTCTTAGAAATACACATTCACATAGGAAAGTTTCTGAGAAGTTCTGCAGTAAGCTGTTTAACTTGGTTTAGCTCCCCAGGTACCAAAGCTATAGGTCTTCTGCCTTTTTATCCCATGAACTATCTCTTAATATTCTATAAAACTAGTGTTTTAAGGAACATACTCTAGGAAATGCTGCTTTAGAAAACTTTTATAGGAAGTGGTTTAACGTGTGAATAAGAGTTGCTATGATACCTTTCACTTATATAGGACCTGAAGGATTCTTTTTCTTTCAGTAAATAAACTGAGAGGTAGAGCGGTTAATTGACATCTCCAGATTACCTTGAATAAATGCTTATGCCGAGACTCTGTAAGTAGCATGGAGCTTTGGAGGTGAGAAGTTTATGGGCTTCATATTTTACATCCTGCCCATAAACCAATGCCTTTTAGTCCCAAAATCTGTGGACATGTATTACTTTTCTTGGCTGGGTGGTATTGGGCAGCCCAGTCTTTATCCTTACCTATCACAGGTTGAACTCTTCAGCCTGTGTGATTTTATTTCCAATCTACCTGTTTGCTGTGGGGCAGGAGAAGAGGAGGCAGTATTGTGCCAAATATGGTGTTAGGTTATCCATGCTGTGAAACTGCCCCTGTTTAAAGCCCCGAGAGAGGACAGATGACAACACTGGCACACCTGTACTAGGTGACGTCATCAGGTGATTATGCCCCACCCCACCTGGAGTGTTTTGAAAGAGGTTACCTTAAAGACCATTGGTCCAATGACGATCTAGCCTTGAATTCTTTGAGGATAGTTGGGATCATTTTCCTTTCTGTTTTGTTTTTTTTTTTAAGATTTTATTTATTTTAGAGAGACAGCAAGGGCAGGGGGGGAAGGGGCAGAGAGAGAGAATCCCAAACAGACTACGTGCTGAGCAAGGCATAGGACCTGAACCCACAACCCCAAGACCATGACCTGAGCCAAAATTAAGAGTCCAGTGTTCAACTGACTGAGCCACCCAGGTGCCCCAGATCATTTTTCTTAATAGCCCAATTATTTCAAAAGATTATGACTGTATAACATCTGCATTTATTAATCATTATTTTCCCCACTTTTTTTTGGCCAATCAAGGATAGAGATATATATGAAATTAAAACAGTGAACGAATAGTAAACAGTGATTAAAATAGGATTAACTTTCTTTTTTAGGATGAACTTTTTAAAGAAATAGTTGATTTTTAAATAAGTGTGTATGGCCTTTTGGTGATAAATGACTGATTTCTATTGACTTTTTTTTTATATTAAAAGTAGCTTTACCAGGGTACTAGGGTGGCTCAGTTGGTTAAGCATCTGCTTTCTGCTCAGGGCTCAGGTCACGATCCCAGGGTCCTGTTCATCGCAAAGCCTGCTTCTCCTGTTCCCTTTGCTCCTCCCCCAGCCCATGCTCTCTTGTGCTTTCTCTCAAATAAATAAAATCCTTTTTAAACAAGTAGCTTTTGGGGCATCTGGGTGGTTCTGTCATTAATCATCTGCCTTCAGCTCAGGTTGTGATCCCAGAGTCCTGGGATTGAGCCCGGAATCAGGCTCCCTGCTCGGCGGGAAGCCTGCTTCTCCCTCTCCTGCTTCCCCTGCTTGTGTTCTGCTCTCGCTCTGCTCTCTGTCAAATAAATAAATAAAATCTTTTAAAAAAAGCATACAGGGGGCGCCTGGGTGGCTCAGTGGGTTAAGCCTCTGCCTTCGGCTCAGGTCATGGTCTCAGGGTCCTGGGATCAAGCCCCGCATCGGGCTCTCTGCTCAGTGGGGAGCCTGCTCCCCCCCGCCCCCGCCAGCCTCTCTGCCTACTTGTGATCTCTCTCTGTGTGAAGTAAATAAATAAAACCTTAAAAAAAAAAAGCATACATTCTTCTAAAAAAATTATTTAAAAAAGTAGCTTTTACCAAAAAAAAAAAAAAGTATCTTATGAAGTCCTCATTACAGACTTCATGGATCTTTAGGGAATCACTGATCCAATCATCTTATTTCCCCAAGAAAGTAAACAAGGCCCCTTGGAAAGGCTGAATAACGTCTGCCCCACAGAGCTGCATGGTGGTCCCTGCCCCCACCGCAGGAGCCTTTCCATTCCCTTTCCGTCTCCTTACCTGTCTCCTGCCCTTTTGACAGACCATTTCAGCAGGTTAATGATAAATGTCATTTATTGAACATCTAGCTGTCAAGGAGCATCAGGTGGTACTGTTATCCCCCTTTTGCAGGTAATGGCTCAGAGAGGGGTTAACTCGTTCACTTACTCCAGGTGGCCTCACTAGGACACAGCTATGCTCTGAAGGTGAGCAAGGACAGAGGATAAGAAAGCTGACAGCCGTCTCTTCTTTTTCTCCCTGACCCAGTCTTTAGCCAGCAGTGCAGGGTCTCTGAGGCCAGAAGTCACCTGGAAAGCTAAGCATTCTCTTTGCTGTGTCAGAGAGACTGCCAGAGTGGATGGCTGTGGGGCTGGGCTTCATGGGGTAACTGCCCTCAGAAACTTAATTCATGGCACCCCAAATCCTGACTCTAGTTCACAAACCCCACTGATGACTACAGACCTCATTGCCAATTTATTATTTACGTCCATTGACCAAAACACTGTCTGATGCCCAGGGTATTCCATCTGGAAAAACCAGAATAGTTACAAGAAAGAAACTTGGTGACTCCAAAATAAGATCGAAACAAGTCAGCATTTCCCTGGGTCATGCCACGCTGGCTTTTACGAGCTAGGGTCTCTTAAGGAAAGGGCTGAGACCCAGAATCATCTTCTCAGGCTTACTTTTTTTTTTGGTAACAGTTTTATTGGCATGTAAATTAAATACCATATAAGTCATCCATTGAAGGTGTGTAATTCAGTAGCTTTTACTAGATTCATTAGAGTTATGCATCCATGACCGTTAATTTAGAGCATTTTCATTACCACAGAAAGAAACTCCATACCCATTAGCCATCAGCCCTCACCACCCCATCCCACGAGCCCTACACAAGCAATAATCTACTTCCTTTTTTCTTTTTAAGGTATGCTCTTTTTTTTTTTTTTGGCCTTTTTTATTATTATTTTTAAGTAGGCTCCAGGCCAAACATGGGGCTTAAACTCATGACCCTGAGGTCAGGAATCACATGCCCTACCAACTGAGCCAGCCAGGGCACCCAGTAGTCTGCTTTCCGTCTCTCTAGGTTGCCTGTTTGGGACATTTCATATAAATGGACAATGTGACCATTTGTGTCTGGTTTCTTTCACTTAGCATGATGTTTTCCATGCTTGTCATGCGGTTGCCTGTACCAGCAATTCATTTCTTTTTCTGGCTGAGTACTATTCCATTGTATGGCCGTACCACATTTTATTTATCCATCCTCAAGTGTACTTTCTGTGATCAGCTCCTGCCTCTCCTGGGGGCAGAGGTGACTTGCTCCTGCCTTCATGCCAGGTGCCTCCCGACTCCCCGGCATTACCTCCTGGCACAGGGGATACCAATTGTTAACACGTCTCTCTCCTTGGAGGACCACATCTCTTTTCGTCTTTAACTGGTCCAAAGCAGACATTCGGTGCTTATCAAATAAATGAAGGAACATACGGTTCCGAGCTTAGCTTCCGCAAACATGTGTTCGTTCAAATAATTAAGATGTTCTGGGAACACAGAGGAGGCAAGCTGTTAACTCTGGTGAGGAAGTCAGAGAAGGATGAGCCACTGTTTGGCAGGTAGGGGAGAAAGGAAAAGGCCCTCCCACTGGGAATTAGTGTTTGTAAAGAGGTGGAGCGTGACAAAGGCAAGGAGATGGGTGTGGGTGCCATGCAGGTGTGTGACAGGGAGTGGCAGGAGGTGAGGCTGGGAAGATAGGTCAGTCAAAAAGACCTCACATGCCAGGGTAAGGTTTTGTTCTGAAGCCTCTTGGGAGTCGTCTGAGGTTTGAAGCCGCAGAGTGACATGATCAGGTCTACGCTTTAGAGAGACAATCTTGCAGGCAGTGTGAAGAATCAGTGGAGGCAGAGAAGGTTCCTTCCAGTGAGGAGGCTCTGCTGCAGGTCTGGCAAGCCCAGTGAGGCCTGGCAGAGGCAGTGTGGTGGGAATGGAATACAGTGGACATTCCCGTCTGAGGACCCACCAGGCTGACGTTATCCTCCTGCATCCATATTCCCATACACCCTCCCCACTTCCCTAGAGTTAATTGCTGTGTGTTTGGGGGGAGTCAGTTTACCTGTCTGGTCCTCAATAATCTCACCTCTAAAATGAGAGGGTTCCAACAAATATTTTCTCCACTGCTTACAACTGAAAGTTCCAAATCCTTCACTGGCTGTGGACATACCCTGGTGATGGGAACAACCAGTGTCCTTCCCTGGGTCTCAGCCCCGGCTGGAGCATGAAGGGAGCGGGCAAAGGGTGGTGCTAGTGAGCTAAGAGTCCCTCATCCCTGCCACGTACAAAATCTCCAAACCTTGGAGAGATGCAAATCCTGATGGGGGTTGCCAGTCTGGGCCTGGGGAGGAAGACAGTGGCCACTGGTCCTGCAGAGACCCCCACCTACAGCCTGAGAGTGGATGAAGCATGGTCTGAGGGCCGCCATGATGCCGAGTGAGGGCTTAGGTCTCGGAGGAGAGGGCTAGTCCTCTTCCTACACCCCCACATTCCCTGCCTTCCCTTCCCTGGAGCATCCCAGGCTACCCTTGCTATAGCAAGCAAGGCCCTGAGTGGGAGGTGGGAGGCAGCCAGCCCAGCTTCTTCCTCCTTCCCTGGCCCAAACCCCCTGTGTCCTCTGGCCTGGCTGAACACAACAGATTTCTCTGGTGGCATGCCCTCCTTCCGCAGTTTGCTGTGGATCTGAGCACACTTCCCTGAAAGTCTCCCAGGGAGGGGCTGAGAGGAGGACATTTGTAGGAGACAACTGAGTCTTGTAAACTGGACTTAAAGAATTTCCCCAGAAGTAGCACAATGTCTCCATTCTTTCCTTCCAAAAAGCCTCAGCCCGCCCCCCAACTACCCAGCCCACATTCTCTCTCCCACCCATCCCAGCCCCCAACTTCTATTCCCCAGTGTGATGGCTGCTTCCCAAGGCCCCACATGCTCAGCTTTGACCAGGCCAGTGTGCCCAGGAAGTGCCAGGCTGCTGAAGGGACAGGGAGTGACAGGCTCTCCTGCTTCTTTCTGGATCCAGCTGTGGGGTCCTGTTTCCTCTGAGGCTGCACCTCAGATCTTTGGCCTTGGTGTGCAAGACTTCTCCCCCCACCATCCGTTCCTCCAGATCTCTTGCTAAAGACCTTGTGCCACTTCCTTTTATCCGGGCTTCCAGTCTGGGTGTCCCTCCTCTGTTTTCCTCTGGGCAGCTCAGATTTTGATATCTGATGGCCCACAGTGGGGAGGGAAGGGCAGGGCCTGTTTGTATAGAGTAATTGAGGCCCCACCTCCCACAACCTGGAGATTAAGCTCTGGGGGAGGGGGAGGAGAAAATTGCTGAGATGGGGTAATCTGAAACTCTTTGTCAGGATAAATTGGGACAGGATCCCCAGGCTTCCCCTCCCCTCTCAAATTCCCAGCACTCCCACCCACTCACAGCGCTGGCTGTAAGGCCCTGTCTTGTGAAGGGGGCCCTCTGCTGCTGGCCTCTAAGCTGGGTCTCTGCCCGATAGATGACACAGCCAGGGAAGAGAGTGCATACATCCTTTGCTACTGACCTTCCCATGGCCAAGTCCCAGGCACCTGAGTAGTTAATGCCATGAGAGGCAGGAGCAGAGCGAGAGCAAGAGAGAGAGGCTTCTAGCTCCTAAGGGAGCAGTCGGAGGCGGTCCTGCCAGATGGGCCCCCCAAAGACCTCCTGCAGCGCTTTCCCAGCTGCTTCCCCACAAGAGAAGCCAGAAGCGTGAAGACTACTGGGTAGATAAGGTTTCACCAGCAGACAGCTGTGGAGCTTACTATTAGGCAGAAGGGGAGGGGAGGAGAGCAAGTCTTAGCTGAAACCCCAGCCGGGCCCTCCTTCCAGTTCTTTCTCTCATTTTTGCCTTTCTCTTAGGCTATTACTCCCCCTTGCCTGGAGAATCTACACCAGCCCCCTTCCTGCAATGGAAAGAGCCAGAGCAGCGTGCGTGCGTGCGTGTGCGCGTGCGTATGCGCGCACACACAAAGTATGGCCAGAAAAACACCCAGGCCTCAGGGCCGGGCGGTGGGGATGAGGTTGGAGAAAGGCTGTGGGTGTGAGGCTGGGATGGGACTGAAGTGGACCTTCCATGGTGAGAGGAACGCCGGGGCTGGGGCTGCAGTGACCTGGGCGTCGCCTCTCCACCCGGCCTCCTCCATCTGCGGGGCACCATGGGGCCGGCCCGGTTCCCGGGCGCCCACACTCACCTGCTTGCTTCTCTGCCCCGCACAGTTCCGGGGCCGCGCCAACCTGCATGTGTTTGAGGACTGGTGTGGCAGTTCCATTCAGCAGCTCAGGAGGAACCTCCACTTCCCACTGTACCCCCATGTGAGTGTTTGCTGGGCGCGCCTCTTTTCCGTCTCTCGCCCCACTCCTGTCTCTCATCTCCCTCAGTCTACTCTATTCTTCATCTGTCCTAGCTTCTTTTCTAGTTCATTTTCTTTCTTTTATATCTTAGGTCCTCTCTTCTTCTGCCTATGATTATTACTATTGCTCCCTTCTCAAGGATTCCTTTGAGTTCTCTGCCATCTTCTGCATCATTTCAGCTTTAGGCTCTCATTGTGGCTCATAATACAGGTTAGCCAGAATCACCACATACAGTCGGGCTGGTTGTACACTGTACAAGGTCACATGGACAAAGAAGCAAGTGGGAGTGGAAATCTTGCCTACACTCCACTCACCAAGTCATGCCCCAGTCCCTCTGTCTCCCTCCCCCTCCCCGGTCTTCTCACCAGCCCTGAGTGGACCATTTTCTTCAGTTTCTTCTTCCCTCTTCTGGGTAATGGTTTCCCTCCCCTTTCTTGGCATAGATTCGCACCACCGTGAGGAAGCTGGCTGTGTCCCCAAAATGGACCAACTATGGCCTCCGCATCTTTGGCTACCTGCACCCCTTCACCGATGGTGAGGCCAGCCCCAAAGTCCCATCCTCCTGCTTCCTGCTCCAGGTTCTTTACAATACCCAGAGAACATAAGCCTGTAGCTAAGAAGTAAGTCCACACCAGGCTCCCTGGACCCTGTTGGTCCATCACTGGGGAGAGGGGAAATTTCGTCATGGTGAGGTCTCATCCAGTGCCCCCACCAGCTCCCGCTTCACACCCTGATTTACAGAGTCTGGCACTACCTTGTCTCTCCCTGTGAGTCTTCCCCATCTTCGTGGTGTCTCCTAGGTTGAGGACCCCCCCCCCCACTTTATAGAGAGGGAAGTCACAGCACCAAGGCCCCTGAAGATAATGTAATTGCTAAGACATAAAACAGGCCTTCAGCCCTGCATGCTAATGCCCTTCTTGCTCTCATCTGCAAACTCTCTCCCCCACTGCCCAGGAAAGATCCAGTTTGCCATTGCTGCAGATGACAACGCTGAGTTCTGGCTCAGCCGGGATGACCAGGTGTCAGGCCTTCAGCTGCTGGCCAGTGTGGGCAAGGTAGGGTCCGCCCAGCCTGGGAGCTAGGACATGGTAGAGGCACCTGCCCACATCAGGAAACCCTCATTACCCTTAGTCACTCTGGTGTGACAGCCAGGGAAAGGTGTAAAAAAGAAGCATCCTCCCTCTCAACATGCCCCATTTTACAAAAGGATAGAAAGAGTGTAAACTGGGGAGGAGTGAGGAGTTAGTCTGGGGCCACAGAAAGACCTCAGGAAGATTCATCTCTGGGCGGGAACTGGGCCACATCCTCTTTTTGGGTTCCAGTGTCCTTAGCATGGTCCCAAGTATGCATGCTATGGGGCCTCAGTAGGAAGGGCACAAGTGCTTCTTGCCCTGGTCACCTGTCACTCCCCTCACCTCTCCTGTTTTCTCTCTCATCTCGCTCTTCTTTGCTCCCACGTCTCCTCCCCATTCCTTCCTGTCTCTGCACCCACCTCCCTTCCTTCATATTTGTCCATCTTCCTCCTTCCGACTCTTCTCGCTCTCCCGCACCTCTAGACTGGAAAAGAGTGGACCGCCCCTGGAGAGTTTGGGAAATTTCGGAGCCAAATTTCTAAGCCAGTGAGGTGAGTTGGGAGTCTCATGATGTTCTTGTGAGCGACAGAAAAAAACCAACGTACCTCAAGTGCTGAGGCCAAATTAGAGTCAGGGAAGCCAGTCGTACCCTCCCTGCTCTCCAGCCTTTCTTATCCCAGAGGTGCAGTGTGCCTGGGCACCCCGTGCGTTCTGATAAATGAAGTCTTTGACTTAGAAACCATCTGGCTCATCCTTCCCCATTTTACAGATGGGAAAACTGAGACTCAGAGAGGGTGTGACTGGGTGAAGGTCACACAGCTATTTAGTGACACTCAGGACCAGAAAACAAAATAGGTCTCTTCCAGTCCTTGCCCTTCCCATTTGCTCCATCTCTGGAGATGTCTGCAGGGGTACAGCCTGTACACTGGCTCTCTGCCTGTGCTGCAGAAAGGTCCTCACCGCTGTGATCCCTTGGGACACTGGAGGGAGACCAGACCTTTCCCAGCCTGTAGTGGCTGGAATTGCTTTAACGTGCTGGAAGGGGAACTTAGCCTAACTTCAGAGTGCCACCTAGTGGCCGGCACATACAGGCAAGAACATGCGTCGGCTTGATGGTGGTAGCCTTGATGTCAGTAGCGGTAAGACAGTGTAGCTTGTGAAGAGCACTTGCCGTGAGCCAGTCTCTGTGGTGAGCACTTTACAGGTAACTCCACCTGGCAGCTGACGCTGTGGACACAGACATCCAAATCCCAGCTCCACCACCTACTACCCCGTGATTTTGGGGCAAATTACCCAAGATTTCTGTGCCTCAGTGTTCTCATCTATGAATAAGAATTAAGTGAGTTGGTATGCATAAAGCACTTAGAACAGTGCCTGGCACATAGTAACAACTCTGTAAGCATTATTATTACGGATGGCCAGACTTGTAATAGTTCAGCTTACGGTGTTTTAGCTTGACAATGGTGCGGAAGTGATATGCAGTCAGTGGAAACTGTACTTCAGATTTTGAATTTGGAGCTTTTTTCAAGCCCGTGGTAAGGGATACAATAGTCTCTTGTGATGCCGGGCAGTGGCCATGAGCCTCACTTCCCAGCTCTGTGACTGATTGAGCACGGGGTCCACAACCGATATACTGAAAACCACCATGCTGTTTTTCCATTTTCATTCAGTAACTGATGTGGGGTGTTCAGCACTTCGTTATAATTAGGATTTGTGTCAGATGGTCTTGCCCAGCTGCGGGCTAATGCCAAGTGTTCTGAGCACATTCAAGGTGGGCCAGGCTAAGCGATCATGTTCGGGAGGTGTATTAAATGCATCTCGACTAACAATATCCTCAGTTTACAATGAGTCTATCAGAACATAGGCCCGTCGTAAGTTAAGGAAGATCTGTATATCCTTTGATTGGCCTGATTTCTCTGTGAAGTGTATACTGTTATTACCGCCACCTTACAGAAGAGAAAACTAAGGTCACGCTGTGAGTAAGAAGTAGAGTGGGGACTCCAGGCCTGCATTAAAACCAAAGCTCCTGGAATGCCGGGAGCAGAGAGAAAAGGTCAAGGGGGTCTGGGGGTGGCAGGAGCAAGGTGGGAGCTGGCGTGGCCTGGCAGAAGAGTGGGTTACTGGGGTGACTGCAGGACCCGAGAAGGTAGCCTTCTGTGTCTGCTCTCTCTTGCCAGCCTGGCGGCCTCCCAGAGGTACTACTTTGAGGTTCTGCACAAACAGAACAACGAGGGCACAGATCATGTGGAAGTTGCGGTGAGAGCTCCATCTTTCCTGCCCCCCAACTCAGCTCAGAACCACTCCTCACTCCTTGTCCCTTGAACCCTTTTCTAAATCCAGCTCTTTCCGGGGCACCTGGGTGGCTCAGTGGGTTAAGCCTCTGCCTTCGGCTCAGGTCATGATCTCAGGGTCCTGGGATCGAGCCCCACATCGGGCTCTCTGCTCGGCAGGGAGCCTGCTTCTCCCCCCGCCCCGCCTGCCTCTCTGCCTACTTGTGATCTCTCTCTGTCAAATCAATGAATAAAATATAAATAAATAAATCCAGCTCTCTCCAACCCGCATCCACCCTCTCTCCTCTCACTCTTCCAGTGGCGACGGAATGACCCTGGAGCCAAGTTCACCATTATTGACTCCCCTTCTCTCTCCCTCTTCACAAGTGAGTAGGCTCTGCCCCCCCCCCACCCCCGGAGACAGAGGTGAGCAGGTACCAGCAGGCTGGGCTCAGTCTGCGGGGGGTATTTGGTCAAAGGAGGGGTGGAGGCTAAAGCTCAAGGTGCTTGAAACGTAGGTGGAAAGGGGGTCCAGAACAAGGAACAGAACTTAAAGGCACCCTAAGTCAGAGATCCTTAACTCTCAAGGGTTAGTGACCACTTTGGAAGCTCGCTGAGACCTCATCCCCGAAAAAATGCACTTTTCCATGCACACACAATATTTTGTGTACAATTTCAGTGGCCTCCGGAGACCATGAGGCTCACTCCAGATGAAAAACCTCTGAGTGAGGCCAGTTTTCTGTTTCACAGTTGAGGGTCCCATGGTTCTTTGCAAAGCCATGACCAGCCATGAAGAAACTTTCTACCTGCTTCAGATCTGCAGTAAATGAACTCTTCAGTTGTACTATGTATTGCTTATGACTTCCTATGCATTTGCAGGCCCCACTGAGAAATCACCAGGCATGTTGGGCCACGTGGGCCCAGGTATAGGAAGAGCAGGCAGGGCCCTAACCCCAAGGGAGGAAGGGAAAGCCAAGGAATGCTGGGAGGAGACTGGGAAGGCAGTGGGAAGTGTGTGAGAGTCAAGAAGGCCAGGAAAATATGGGTTCACTGGACAGTGGCAGTGTGGCGTGGGCCACACAGGTGGGAGGATGTTGATGGTGAACAAAGCCAGAGGCCACGAGGTCAAGGCAGAAGGGGCAGATCGTGAGCTGCTGAGTTGGTACAAGAGGAAGAAGGCAGAGCTGGAGTCCGCAGATGCAACGTGAAATGAGAAGAAAGAGGCCCATAGTAAAATTCAGGGAAGAAACCAGTAAGATGAGCCAGAGGTAACCGGCCCAGGGTGTAGAGGGAGAGCTCCACGTGGGGCTGAAGACATGAATCCAGGTGGCAGGGAGCAGCCAGTGCCTGGGGTGGTTAGGAGACGGAGGAGGCCTGTCCCACTTGGGAGAATACTGGTCAGGGGCATAGGGGTGAGTGTGGGGGGGTCCAGGCGGGGGGCATTGAGGAGGAACAGGGCTGCAGAGAATGTGAGGGAGTGCCCTACAGTGGTCTACCTTGCTGGCTCGTCTGTCTGAGACATGGTATAACCTGGAGGCTGAGATTCCAAGATTCTCAGAGTCTTGATTCTGAGAGTCCAGATTCAGCTTTGCCCCCAACCAGTTTTGTGATCTTTGACAAGTAACTTAGATTCTTGTTGCCGAAATTCCTATCCTGTAAAGTAGGAAAAAATAAGTACCTAAGGCGTATGGTGCTTATGGAGGTGAAATGACTTGATATTTATAAGATGCTTAGAACAGTGCCTGGCTGGTTATTTGGTAATTTCTCTATACATGTTTGTGAGACAAATGAAGCAGACTTACAATGACAGATTTCCGGCAGAGAGCAGTAACACTTGTGAGGAAGTGGTGTCTTTTCCCAATTTACACAAAGTTCTGGTGTGTGGTAGCCATGGGGCTGGTAGAGTGGGTCTAGGGGAGATCAGTAGCCAAACCCCCAACTTGTGAGGGGGCAGGGCTAGAGGGGAGAGGGATCATACACACTTCATACTGTCCCTGGAGTGTGTGGGGGGGGGGGTTGGATACAGAAGCCTGGGCTCTGGCGGGCAGTGGTCTGGGTTCTGGGTTTATTTCAGGACTCATAGCTGCCTCTCTTCTTTCCTCCCTGAGCCCAGATGAGACAGTCCTAAGGATGGATGATGTGGGCCATATCCCTCAGACAGCAGCCAGCCACACAGGCTCCCGAGACTCTCTTCCCAGAGAGGAGCCACCCCTTGCAGACATGCTGCGGCCTGACCCTCGGGACACCCTCTATCGAGGTAAGACCTTGACCACACACTTCTCACCAGGTCTGGGGACCACACACTCAGGCCCCTGGGTATTAGCAGAGGAGACTCTGCAGATTTGTCACCTCTACCACGGTATCCCGAAGTCAGAGAATCTTCGTTTTCCCTTAGGAGTGTAAAATATAATATGCGTACAGGAAAGTACAAAAATATATATGCACAATTTTACAGTTACACAAATCATTACACATTAAACATTATGTGACCACCTCCCAGGATAGGAAGTAGAACTAGAGCCCAGAAATCCCCTGCGTGTCCCTTCACAATCACATATATCATAGTTTCCTAGTGGATCCCAACTCTTCTAATCCAATGAGAGAAGTATGTTCCCACCAAGGTGTTGGAGTATAAATTCTTGGGAGCGTTTACATTTTAAAAGCTGAGAAAACCTCCCCAGCCCCCCTGCAACCCTCACAACAACTGGGAGGAAGTTCAGTTATTGGCCCTGTGCTAGGATGAGACTCAGTGGCCTCTTGGATGTTTCTGAACCTTTCCTGAGGCTAGCCCTGTACAGCAATCCCATGCCATGAACCAGGGACTGCATCCGAATCCTTGGCCTCCAAGGCTCCTTGAACGCACCTGGCCCAGAAGAGTGGTGCCAGCCTTAGTTTGGCAACCTCAGCTGATGAACTTGGGCTCTGTTCGTGGCTGTCCATGAGTGAACTACAAAAAAGTGCCTGTTCAGAGCAGAGGCCTGCAGCCCCTGCCCCCCTTCTCCCCCGCAGCCGAGAGGCTTTGTGCCTTGAAGCCAACCTGTTCCAGATTCCTGTCCCTACCCTCATCCCTCTTCAATTACTGTCCTCAGTGCCTCTGATCCCCAAGACTCATCTCCGCCACGTCCTGCCCGATTGTCCCTACAAACCCAGCTACCTGGTGGATGGGCTCCCCCTGCAGCGCTACCAGGGACTCCGCTTTGTAAGTCTTGAGGCTGGGCAGTGGGGTCAGAGTCAAGAGGGCTTACGGCCTGGGGCTAAGAAAGAGAGGTGCTGGCCCTGACTCTTCCTCCTCCCCAGGCCACATAGCAGCAGACAGGATGGCCTCACAGGTCCATGGACTGGGTGAACTTGCATTCCAAGTTGTCCATGGCCCAGTGGACCTCCCTATAAACTGCAAGAATGAATGCTTGGCCTTAGGAAGGCCTCCAGCTCCAGCTCTGCCACGGTGATGAGGATGATGGGAGGTGGGTCGGCCTGAGGCTTCCTATGCTCTCGGCTGCTTGAATCACACAACCCCGTCCTACCTGTGTCTGTCCTACTGGGTGATCAGCCAGCAGTTCTTAAACTCCTAGATGAGGCACCGAGGGAGGTGAACTATGGAGCGAAGCTTAGTTCTAGAGAACCTGTAGCCCAGGTGGAAACTGCAGAGGCAGAAGGCATACTATACATTCAGATCTAGAAATGATTTGGGTGCTCGAGGCTGGAAGAGGTGACCAGGACTCGTCCTCTGGGTCAGAGAATGGGTGGACTCTAACTGGGAATTTGGTTGGTGGCATTGCCTGAAGCTGTAAGGAGGGCAGGAAGCAGTGGAGTGGGTAACAGAAGGAGGTTGTTCCAGGGCCGTGGGAAGTTGCAGTAAAAGTCTGGAGGCAGCAGGAGAGGGTGAGATGGCAGAAGGAGGAGAGAATGGTACTGGCTGCGACTTGGGCAGAAGGAGCTGGGTTGGGAGTTGAGGGGCGTGTGCGCCGGGAAGCTTGAGTCGGGTTGCGTTTGGTCCAGAGAGCCCAGGAGAGGAGTCCTGAAGAGTAAAAGGGAATCCTGGTCTGTGGAGCAAATGTTTTCTTCTGGAGCCCAAAGCAGCCCTTCTCCTCTCACCAGGGTTAGGGCCCTCAGAGCCCTGTGTGGTCCTGGTGAGGCTCAGGCTTAACCCTGGTGGCTGATTTCTTACTGAGATCCCACCCTCTCATTCCTGCTGCTTTCTCTGCCTCCAGGTGCATCTGTCCTTCGTTTACCCCAATGACTATACCCGTCTGAGCCACATGGAGACCCATAATAAATGCTTCTACCAGGAAAGCTCGTACTACCAGGATAGGTGAGCAAGAGGATGGATGGCCTTACAGAGGGGCTCTCCAGAAGCCGGGAGAGCTCCCTGGACTAGAGGGGCCACAAATGCCCTTCTAGCCTGAGGAGTCTTGGCCCTTCCCAGGCATGCCACACGCTCACAGACGCACACACACTCTTGCCCTGCAGTGTGGGACTCCATGCTTCTGTTGGCGCTCCCTGCAGAGCCTCACATGGCAGCCTGCGGGGTGCTGGGTGCCAGTCTGCCTCTCCCTTCCTTCTGCAGGTTCAGCTTTCAGGAGTACATCAAGATTGACCAGCCAGAGAAGCAGGGGCCAGAGCAGCCAGGTATGGTGTGACAGCCTAGGCTTCCAGGTCAGGTGGGGAGGGATGAGCATGGTCTGTTTCTAGAGGAAGTTCAGACCAGGCCAGCCCTGCCCTTGACGAGCTTAAAATCTGACCCACATAGCCCCTCCTCTACACCCAAAGGAGTAGAGAGTGGCACTCCTTCCTTCTCCATCCCACATACATGTGGAACGTGATACTGTTTTTAACAGCGTGCTGCAGTCAGCTGGAGGAGAATTAGAGCCCCAGAGGAGATTACTTGGAGTGCTGGAGGGATTGCTCTCGCCGGCATGTCACTGGGGAAGTTCTCCTGTAGATAAACACTGCCATCCTGTGGCCTGCCTTCTGGAGGGATTAGGGCATGCCGGGGGCCATTTGTTGGGTCCCATGTGCCAGGCACCTGCTAGGCACTTTGGGTATTTTATATCACTCCATCTTCACAACAGCCCTGTGGAAGATGCATGTTTATTCCCTTTATGCAGAGGAGGAAACTGGGATTGGTTGAGGTGGGTAACTTGCCCAAGGTCCCACAGTAAGCCGGTGGCAGAGCCCAGATGCAGTCCCCATCTGACACTCGGCGTGTCATTCATAGCCTCAACCGCTGTCTTGTGGATCTTGTTTGGGAAAGGCTAGAAACTCTGATGTGAGCAATGGTTGTTGTTATTAACAACAGGCTTTGAGGAAAGCCTTCTAGAAGAATCCCAGTATGGAGAAGCGCCAGAAGAGACCCTTGCCTCCAACGTTCAGGATGCCAGGATGCCAGAGGGAAGACAAGTGCCTACCTTTCCCCCTGGGCAGGATGTCACTGACTACCACCTCCGGAAACTCCTGGCTCAGACCCGGGAGGGTCTGCTGGCACCCTTTTCCAAGCAGAACTCCACAGCTCCCTTCCCTGCAAGGACTAGCGATGTCCTAGTCCAGCAACCAGAGAAGAGGGAGCGACAAAAGGATCCTGAGCCCAGCCAGGATCCATCTTACTCTCAGAAGTGGCCCCCAGGGCATCTGGCAGGGAAACTGCCTCCTGTCAAGGGGCCCAGGCCCACTGGGCACAGTCCCAGGAAAACTCTAGGGCAGTCCCAGTGGCTGAATCAAGTTGAGACATACATCGCAGAGCAGAGAAGGGGAGACAGGATGGAGCCCCTAGCCCCTAGGAGGGGTTGGCATGGCAAGGAAGACGTCGTGGTTGCTGCAGGCCAGGAAGGACAGGTGGAGGGAGAAGAAGAGGGGGAAGAAGAGGAAGAGGAAGAGGATATGAGTGAGGTGTTCGAATACGTGCCCGTGTTTGACCCAGTGGTAAACTGGGACCAGACCTTCAGTGCTCGGAACCTCGACTTCCAAGCCCTGCGGACTGACTGGATCGATCTGAACTGTAACACGTCTGGCAACCTGCTGCTTCCGGAGCAGGAGGCTCTCGAGGTCACACGGGTCTTCCTGAAGAAGCTCAACCAGAGGAGCCGGGGGTAAGGTAACGGGCTTTTCTGGGACCGGGGCTGGGGCACGGCAGCCAGCTAGCCTGGGGGGCAGGAACCTGGGGGTGGCCGCCCATTTCCCGGCTACAGGCTCCCTAGATGATCACACACCTGGGACCCCCTGTTCCTGAGAATGAGCTCTACCTGTCAGCTCTACCTGTCCAGCCTCGGGCAAGGTTCTGACATCCCTTGGTACCTGGCCTAGGACATGTGTTGAGCACTGGGAAGATGGGGTCCCCTTTCTCAGGGAAGGAGCTAGTAGCAAAGTGATACAACAGACAAAACTGAGTCTAAGAGAGTAAGACCCTAGGTGTGGGCCAGAAGGGAGTGCGAGAGTGGAAAGCAGGGCCTGACTTCCTTGTTTTTGCATTCATTCGCTTAACCAATCAACGTTCTTGTAATTGAGACACAATTCACGTAACATTTAATGCCCCATGTTGGAGTGTACGGTTTTAGAGTGTGCAATTTGGCGGTTTTTAGGCCTATTCATAATATTGTGCAACCGTCGCCACTATCTGATTCCAGATGTTTTCATCACTTTTCAAAAGGACTCCTGCACGTGTTAGCATTACTTCCATTTCTCCCTTCTCTTGGTCCCTAGCAACCACTACCTGACTTTCTTCCGCTATAGATTGACCTGTAAAAATCATTTCATGCAAATGGAGTTAAATTTCGGGTAAATGGAATACGTGACCTTTTGTCTCTAGCTTCTTTGACTTAGCAAAACTTTTCAAGGCTTCCGCAGGTTGCAGAGGGTATTGAGAGCTTGGTTCCTCGGCACTGCTGCGTAATATTCCTCATATTGTTGGTTGGCATCTGGGTTGCTTCCACTTTGGGGCCGTTATGAACACAATGCTGCTCTGAACAGTTGTGTATAATTTTTTTGCACGAACAGGTTTTTAGTTCTCTTGGAGGTATACCTAGGAGTAGAATTGCTGAGTCATATGGTAACTCTGTGTTTAACCTTTTGAGAAACTGCCGATCTCTTTTCCAAATCAGATGCATGGTTCTACGTTCCCAACAGCTGTGTCAGTTTCTCGTGTCAGTGCTTGTTGTTTTCCTTTCTTGAAAATAGCCATCCTGATGGGTGCGAAATGGTATCACATGGCGGTTTTGATTTGCATTTCCCTAGTGATTAATGATACTGAGCTAACCAGTCAGTAGTTTTCTAATAACCCATCATATGTTATGGACTGTGAGTGAGCAGAGTAGTTCATTAATGAGGGTCAGTTTCCGAAGGAAACACATTCACCTTATATATTTAGGATCTTAGAGCTATAACAGACTTTAGAGATCATCCCAGGTCAATGGGTGCATTTTTTTTTTTTTTAATTTGACAGAGATCACAAGCAGGCAGAGAGGCAGGCAGAGAGAGGGAGGGGGAAGCAGCCTCCTGGCTGAGCAGAGAGCCCAATGAGGGGCTCCATCCCAGGACCCTGAGATCACAACCTGAGCTGAAGGCAGATGCTTTAACCCACTGAGCCACCCAGGTGCCCCAATGGGTGTGTTTTTAAAGATGGAGGCAGTGAACACTGGCAATCAAACATCTGGTGGAAGCATCTTAATTAATTAATTAATTATTTTCTATTCTTTTTTTATTTACTTATTTATTATTTGTTTTAAACTAAACTCTGTACCCAATGTGGGTCTTGAACTCACAACCCCGAAATCAAAAGTCACGTGCTCTACTGACTGAGCCAGCCAGGTGCCCCTGCATCTTAGCTAATGACAACACTCGGACAAAAAACAGGGTCCCCTGACACCTGACCTCACAGGTTACCCCCAACAGTGGGGAAGGAGTTACTCAAGCTGCCCACCCTTTCTGCCACAGAAAGTACCAGCTGCAGCGCATCGTGAACGTGGAGAAGCGCCAGGACCAGCTACGCGGGGGTCGCTACCTCCTGGAGTTTGAGCTGCTGGAACGAGGCCGGCGCCCAGTGCGGCTCTCCGAGTACGTGTCTACACGAGGCTGGCCGGGCATCGATCCCGCTGGTGGGGAAGAGGTCGAGGCCCGGAACCTGCAGGGCCTGGCTTGGGGCTCAAACAACCGCCGGAGACATGTGTTGAATGTCCGGGCCCCGGAGCCCAAACTGTGTTGGCCCCAGGGCTTCTCCTGGAATCACCGAGCCGTGGTCCACTTCGTTGTGCCTGGTGAGCCTCAAGCTGAGCCCGGCCATTACCAGCAGAGAGGGGATCCTAAAAGTCACCGTGAGCACCCAGGTCTCTGCTCACTGGTGCGAGCTCACGAGAACCTGTGGGAGAGGCCATTTGACAGTCGAGGACCTGTGGTCACACGGCTGAGTGTTGTGCTTGGCAAAGATGCCGGCCGGCTAGTAGGCCAGGTGCGCCCTGTTGCTCCAGATTTCAGGGTGGGGTTCGGTCATGGCCACGTCATTGTACCGGGGCTTGCAGCTGCTCTGGGAACAAGACATAGAGTGGCTTAGCTGGTGTCTGTAGTGGGAAAGGGGAGCGGGGAACAGAAAGGAGAGCAAGGGTGTTACTAGGATGGGCAGATGACGGGGTTTGAGTGTGAGAGCACAGTCAGGTTACTACGAGAGAGCTGAGGACAGAGGACGAGCCCCTGTCCCAGGCCTTCCCATGGGGCCCTGCCTGGAGGCTCTGTGGGAGGCAGGGTGCAGAGGCCCCGTTCACAGGTCAGCTCCCCCTCTGCCTCCGCTCCCACCTCCCTGCTGCATTGCTGGTGGGTCTGTAGTGCGGAGGTCCACTGGGGCCCTGACTCGTGCAGGAGTTGGCAATGGGGCTGCCGTTCTCGGTGCTACCGCTTCTTTCTCCCTTTTGCCCACTGTGGTAGTGAAGAACCAGGCGCGCTGGGTGCAGCAGTTCATCAGAGACATGGAAAAGCTGTTCCAGGCCACCGGCGACCCACACTTCAATATCATCATCACTGACTACAGCAGTGAGGACATGGACGTCGAGATGGCCCTAAAGAGGTCCAAGCTGCGGAGGTGAGGGGGCTCCCCGGCTGGAGCCCAGCCTGAACCACCCGCTTCCTAGAGTCCCAGGACTGCTTGGTGCTGGGCAGAGCCTGAAGTCCCAGCTGGCTTTCCTGAGTCCCAGTGTCTGGCTTTCTCCAGACGACTCACCTGCGTATGATCCCACCCTAGGAGCCGCATCACCTTCCTCCGGGCACCACTGCCGCTGAGCCTCATACTCCACCCCTCTTTCCTCTCCTCTCCCTGCAGCTACCAGTATATGAAGCTGAGTGGAAACTTCGAGCGCTCGGCTGGGCTTCAGGCTGGCATAGACCTGGTGAAGGTAATATCCTGGGAGGGGCCTGGGAGACAATGTTACAGACGGGTTAAGAGATGGAGACATCTGGGATGTGTGAGGCAGTCAGCCCCTCGGGGAGGAAGGAATGAGGACACGGGAGGTCCTCTCTGTTCTGCTGCAGGGCGGGTGCTGGGTGAGGCTGAGCAAATGACAGTGGAGCATTTGTCCGGAGGCCTTGCGGTCCAGAAAGGATGAAGGAGAGGTGTCAGAATTCATTCTCTGACTCTGAGAACTGTGTACTTGGTGCCCAGTACTGTGGAAGTCTGCCCAACAGTTTGGTGGAAGTTTGTCCAGCATTTGATTGGGAAGGAGCCTGAGGATTGTCCTTGGGAGTGGCCTGACCCCCAGCCCCGGTCTGTGGGGTCTGCTGAGCCTCCCCCATCTGTCCTCAGGACCCGCACAGCATCATCTTCCTCTGTGACCTCCACATCCACTTCCCAGCTGGAGTCATCGATACCATCCGGAAGCACTGTGTGGAGGGCAAGATGGCCTTCGCCCCCATGGTGATGAGGCTGCATTGCGGGGCCACCCCCCAGTGGCCTGAGGGTGAGCCCTGCCTTGGGCTAGGGTGGTAGGCGAGCCCTTGCTGGCCTTGGTTCTTTATCCCAGAGCTAGAAATATCCATGTCTACCATGGCGGTCTCCCTCCTGCTCCTCCTGCCCACTGGACAGCCCGCCGGAGAGGTACCTGAGGGCTGTGCTCATCCGCAGCAGCAGCAGTGATGAACATTTCCTCCCCATCTTCCCTTCTTTCAGTCATCAGATACCTACTCTGTGCCAGGTTCTGTGCCCTCTGCAGATAGAGACATGGGAAGACAGGCTGCCTGCTTCTGGGAGGAAAACAGACAAGGAAAGCATGTTCAGATGTGTCTTCAGTGGCTGCCGTGGAGAGATCCTGTTTTAGGGCCTGTAGTCAACCCCCTGTTTTAGGGCTGTAGGACCGCAGCTTCTGTTGGACCCTGAATCTGAGGGCGGGCAGGGACTTGTTCGCATGAGACAGTTTTCAGCGTCAGGCACCTACATCCCCTGTCTTTCAGAGAAGGCTCTGGAAATGCAGCCCAGCAGCCTTCCTTGCTTCCTCCTGGCCCCTGGCTCATCTCACGGGGGGCTTCTTATCTGGCCACAGGTTACTGGGAGGTGAATGGGTTTGGACTGCTCGGCATCTACAAGTCAGACCTGGACAGAATTGGCGGCATGAACACCAAGGAATTCCGAGACCGCTGGGGCGGGGAAGACTGGGAGCTGCTGGACCGGTGACTGGGGGAGGAGGGTATCTGAAAGGGACTCCAGGGAGAGAACAGGGCTAGATCAGCTGAGGCTGCGGCCATGGGGCAGCAGATTCCTAATGTCTGGGCTCAGAGGAAGCCCTGCCCCTCGCCAGGGGTCCTATTACTCACGTAGCCAAGACTCAGTTTCTGTGTCTGTTAGAAGGGGGATGATACTGCCTCCACCTGTGTCACAAGGTTGGAGTGGAGATTAGAGTGCATGGTGAGCTGTCAGGGTAAAGTAGAAGCTCACGAGCTGTGTGCATGTAAATGCTGATGCTCTCAGCCCGGGTGTTCTCCGGATCGGAGCCTTCCTCCTCTGCACCACTGTCCGGCGGGGAAGCTGAGGCTGGGGAATGGACAGGAGAGACAGGTGAAGGGTCAGGAAAGACTTGGGGCCAGCATAAGAGACATTAAGGCCATTAAAGGGCAGTAAGATAATCCAGGAGGTCCTGGGGCCCTGGAAGCCTGGGAGAAGGGAGTTTCAGGGAGCAAGAAATAGTCACAGGGAAGAAGAAAGGAGAACACGGGACAGGCCACAGACTTGGGAAGCAGCGGCAGGGTTGAGGCAGGCACGGTGGGCCAGGACCCCACTGTAGGGTGGTGAGGGAGCAGAAGCTGTGTTAGTAGGAGAGTCCTCTTTGAAGAAATTTGCTTTTTAAAAAAAATTTGCTGCCATGAGGGGTGCCTGGCTGGCTCAGTGGAGAGAGGACGCAGCTCTTGATCTCGGGGTCGTGAGTTCGAGCCCCACATTGGGGGGTAGAGGTTTCTTAATAAATAAAAGTTACAGAAGAAGGAAAGAAATTTGTTGCCAAGAGAAGGGGAGGGAAAGAGGATGATACCTTGAGATTTTGGATTGAAGGGAAGAGGCGGAGGAGAGAAAGGGAGGGAGACATCAAAGGAAGAAAGGACCAGGGTTGGCTGTGTACCACTCTCTCTCTAAAGGAGGAAAAGACTGGCAGACTGAGACTCTGAAAGGTGACATGCTTTACAAGGTATGGGGCTGGGATTCAGACCCAGGCTGGCTGGCTCCCAACTGCAGCCTCCTCCCATGCCCTGTGGGGAGGAAACAGAGGAAGACAGGGACCGGGGGTGACGCACGGGAGGTGGGGTCCTCAGGGGCCTGGGCCTCTCCCCACTTGCCTCTCGTGCTTCTGTTGCTCACCCCGTCCCTCCCCCATTCAGGATCCTCCAAGCGGGCCTGGAAGTGGAACGTCTCTCCCTCAGGAATTTCTTCCATCACTTCCATTCCAAGCGGGGCATGTGGAACCGCCGTCAGATGAAGATGCTGTGATCCCGAGGGGCGACCCGCTGGACTGACTGCTTCCTGCTCCTTGACTTGTGCTGGCTCCCCAGCGCTGGGGGTGGGGAAGGGGGGCAGAAGCCATGGCTGAGCCCCGAGAGGCCTCAGAGCTAACACCATCACCACCCAGAGCTGTTGCCTCACGCAGAGAGCTGCCAAGGCCCCTCTCTCTACCCTCCGGGCCTCTGAAGGGAGGACCTTGGGAGAAGGATCGGGAGGGGGGCCGTTCACTCAGTTGACAGAGATGGACTGGCTCCTGGGAAAGGCAGCACAGTGCAGTCAAGGAAGGAAAGATCTGTTTGAGCGCTGCTGACCTATCCGTGAGGTGCATTCCAGCACCCCCCACCAGGCTCCTCCTGGGGAGCAATGACCATGACCTGGAAACTCTTCTCTTGGACATATTCTATTGGGGTTTTTATTTTTTCTAACAGAAAACCAAAACCGTACCTGTCCAGACCCTACCTTGACTGTGAGAGAGGGATGGAGTCATGCATTTAGGGCATGTCCCAACTTGCATACCTCAGACCCACTTCTGTGTAGCGCGACATGTCCCTCAAGTCCTTGGTCTGGCAGCTGATTTATAACCAGAGGAGCTGGCGCAGCGTGGATCCGTTCTCAGCTCTACCCCAGCTGTGCCATCCAGAGACACGCACATCTCTCTCGGGGAGCCACAGAACAGCTGGCCGCCAATTAGGGCATTAACCTTCTCCTCTGGGTGGTGCTAACTCCAACCCAGCACAGACTGGCATCATCATGGTGCCTCGGCGGGGTCGGGAGACAGAGGGCTGGTGGACCGTGGGCTCGTCATTCCCGGGTGTCTGGCGTAGAGGCGGTGCCAGACCGGCACAGTGGAGAAGGAGGGAAGAGAAGCCCCCAGCCTGGCCCTGCCTGGCCTGGCTTGCCTGCAGGCTGAAGCTTTGGGGAGAACATGGAGCAGAGAGGAAAGAGGATGGAGATGTAACAAAGCTCTGGGCTTAGAGGGGAAGAGGGAGTGGGCATCCAGCAGGAAGGGGGGAAAGGGAAGTGGAAAATCGGAGTTCCCCACAGTCCTGCTCCCGAACAGACTTGGCCTCCTTTGGGGAGATTCCCCAGCCCCGGCCTGCCCGGAAGAAGAGGAAGGGGTGTGGACAAGGTGGAGGAACAGGGTCCAGGGTGGGGAGCGTCAGGGCCATGGGCTTGGGGAGGTAAGGGCATCGCCCTGAGATCTCTTCCTCAATTGGAGAGAAGTGGGGCCAGGAGGAACTGAAAAGTGGAGCCATTTCAGGAAGCTAGCCCTTGGCCTTTGTAGTCTCTGGCTGCCCTTTCTCACACCCGCCGATCACACACTTAGTCTTGCACTAAAAGTCCTCAGGTGCCTTCGAGGCTGGGGATTTTTCTGCCGCTGCTGCTGCCTCTGCCGCTGCCGCTGGTTTGACCAGTGGTGCATTGGACGCTGGCTCTGGCACTCCGGCGTCCGTGGAAGGAGGGGAGCCTGGGGCTCGCTGCTGTGAGGAAGCTCTCGTGGGGAGGCTAGGGCGCTGAGCCCAGGCTCCATGCTGTGGTAGAGTCCTAGTCAGAGCTTTCAGGGCTCCAGCGTCTACCTGGTGGGCCCTGCATTCACCAAGAGCACACGCTTGGCATTTAGGAGAATCAAGCCTTGAGAACCTTCTGCAAGTTGAAGAGAGTTTCATCTCCCTCTAAAAAATCAGGAAGAACAAAACTTTCCAATTAATGGGCTGTGGCTTCTGGATGCCATTCCTGCCCCTTGAGCCCTGGCTTTTCACACGGCCCTCGCTCAGGCCTACTGCCTTTGGGAAAGGGCTATATGGAATAGGTAGAGCTCCAGTTAGCTGGCTGGGCGGGCAGCTTGCTTTCTGGGGCCACCCTTGGGCGTGGCACTGGTAGGCCTGACCCAACCGAGACAGCCCAGCTGCCTCCATGCTTTTAAAGGCAGGAGCCAGCCCCGCCTGCCTTGCCCTCCCCTCCCCTGCCCTGCTCATGACCCCCTCTGACTCTGGCCAGTGCCTTTCCTTCAATGTTTGTTACCTCCACACCATCTGCCTTAAGGGGGAGGGCCCCTACTCTGTAGGGAAATGTGTCGGGTTGGGGGGAGGGAGGGAAGTGATTAAATACAGCATCTTCTTAGAAAACGAAGTGGCTCGTGTGTTCTTCTCATCGCCCATCAAGATGGGAGAGGACTGGGCTGAGGGGCTAGGGTGCACATCTCCGTCCTTCAGTCAGGATGCTCCCACACCACCCTCCACTGTTCACCATCAGTTTGGTCTTGCCCTGTGGGGAGCTGCCTGAGTTCACCGTCTGAGAGCGGACTGGGCGTTTTCTGCTCAGCGGGTTAGTGGGAGATCGGTGGTTACAGTAGAGAAGGGCTACCCTGGGGGACGTCCCCCTGGATGGACGCCCTGGGGGACGAAGGCTAGATGCAGGCCAGGGTGGCTCGGCGAGCGGTGGTAAAGTAGCAGACATTCTAAAAATCATTCCTGTGTGAGGTAGGGATGCCTGGTTGGGTCTTTACAGGTACAAATTTACCTTCCTCGATCTCTTTGGCTAAGGCAAAGATCAAAATGAGTTTGTATGCCTTAAGCACATGCCTAAGGGAAGGTGCTAATTTGAAAGCTATAACAGGTTTTCAAAAAGGATTGTGCATAAACATGGATCAATCCAGAACTAAGTAATCTGCCATTGATGTAGCAGATGGTAACTAGCCCAAGCTATGTGGGGCCAGAAAAGCTGACTCAGAGCAGGACCCAGAGGAGAGGGAGTCAAGCCCTTTCCAGAACACAGCAGGAGAGGGCATCCAGAGACCAACCCGGAGGCATAAAGATTGACTCAGAGTGCATTTGCAGAAAACTTTATAGATAGAGATCATTCCGTTTTACAAAAGGGGAGAACTGGGCCTGGAGCAGAGGGAATGGATAGCATGGAGGAAAGGAATGAGGTGGAGTAAGAGGTCCTGAAGCCGGGCGGGCTTGGCCTTAGGTAGACACGCCTCAGGTGCAGGAGATACTACCAGAAAGAAAGGTCGGCAGTACCCCATTCTGAGCTCAGGACTCCAGCCCAAGATGGAATTCACTCAGACCAGTGAAATAGCACATCTTCATTCAGATGCTCTGGGTGGGGAGCAAGGGCATCTCCATCGCCCTTCTCAAGCTCTCCCAGGGGCTGTGGAAAGGGCCCCTCAGCCTAGTAGAGCGGGTAGGAGAGGCGGAAGCTGTTCCAGACCTAGGACCTGTAGGGGGCAGCAGAGATGAGACGGTGAGGAGGGCAGGCCGGACCAGCGGTCCTCGGACTTTACTGTGCACACAATTCCCCTAGCAAACTTTTCCAAACACAGGCGCCCATTCAGGAGATCTGAAGTGGGGCTGGAGATCCCATGTGTCCTGCAACCTTCCAGCTGGTGTTGCTGCTGGTCCATGGACCCCAGTTTGAGCAACAGGGGCTGCTGGGCAGTGCCAGAGATGGATCCTATGTGGCATCTTTCCTCTTGCCAGAGGGGCAGAGCCAAGCACTAACCACACTGCCTCCCACCCATCCCAGGCTCTAGAAAAACCCCAGCTTGACCGCTGAGGAAGAGTCCCCTGTTAGCAGCAGGAGGGGCCTTTCTGGGCCCCAATCCAAGTGCTTCTCTCAGACCCCTTCCTTGCCTCAGATCTATCTTTTCCCTGTTGCTTGCAAGGATCTCACTCTTACCCCAAACCCCCAGAGCCAGGAGAAGGGTCACTTGGAGCCCTTGGACCCGGGGGGGCCTCCCCTCCTCCCTCACCTGGGTCCCAGGGCTATGTTCAGAGAGGATTCCTTGAGGTCCTGGCAGTCAGGGAGCCTGTCTTGTGTACCCCGAAGGCTGTAATGAAGACATTGATGACGATCGTGATGGCGACCAGGCTGGTGGCTGTGTTGTTGAGCTGGTTAAGCTGGCCCTGCTTTCCTACCTCATTGAGGTTCAGCCGTGCTGCGGACCAAGTGGGGAGCTAAGGGTCAGTGTGGGTTCATAGCCCGAAACCTCCCCCGCAGCATCCACTAGAGGCCAGAGAAAGTCTGGCACTGTGGAGATCCATGTGGCAGAAAGCAAGGGAGGTAGTAGGCATCAGGCTGTGCCTCCTTCCCCCTCACTGGGATTTGGAAACTTCCACCGGGTCTTACAAGTGGGACGCACTCTCACACTAAGGGCCATAAGGACCTCTGCCACAAGTAAGTGAAGAGAGTCATTTGGCAGCTATCCTGGAGGGACCACTATGTGGGAGACCAGGAGGCAGGACAAGGACCTGCTCTCACTGTGTAGGAGTTGTTAGCTGGGCGTTTGTAGCTACCACCAGCTTAGCCAATGGTCGAGATGTTGGCATGCCAGAGTAGGGGGGCGCTCAGGGAGGCAGTCGGGGATTTTCTTCCCATCAGGGGGCCCCAAGGCCCCCTCCAGGCCTGGGATCCTCACCAATGACCACGAGGAGGATTCCGATGACCACCTGCAGGAGCAGAGAGATGCTGATGAGGGTGACAAGGGCAGTGTAGTAGTGGGAGGCCGGTCCCTGCTCCAGCACCGCTTTCAGCCGTGTGGCGTTGGACATGAAGAGGGCCACGTCCAGCATGCTCTCTGCCACGCTCTTCTTGGTGGCATAGTGGTTCAGGTTGATGGGCTGGCTCCTCCGGGGGTTGAGGTTCCCAGGCTGTAACAGAGAAAGCGCAGGCTGACCCGGGACTCTCCCGCGGGGAAGCCGCTGACAGACTGGAAGGAGGAGAGAGCTTCTCAAGCTTTCTCTTAACCGGGTGGGAAACTGAGGACAAGTAACACCCTGCTCAGTTCTACGGCCTGAAAGAGTGAGGAGTTGGACTAGAAAGCCCTTAAGGACCTTTGAACGTTGAAATGATGGTACGTTGTCATTTATGGTTCCCAAGGGTCTCCCCACTTCTATCTGAGGAAGGGCGAGGGGCGGTGGGGAGTTCTCAGCTGCTTCTGAGACGTCGCACCCTCATTTCATTGTCTATTCTGTCCGAGCTGGGCACTTGGGCCCCTCTCTTTCCCTCTGAGAGGAAGGCATCTCGAGAACAATAGGAGGAGCTCTGAGGCTCGCATGGAATGGGAAAGGCACCTCTGCTCACAAAACGCTGTGGCCCCAAGAGAGGGTGCATGGCTTAGCACATGGGTCATGAGCTGTACTTGGGTCCCACTCAACTCTGTGGCCAAGGGCACTGAGGCCACAGCTGTGCTCGTCAGAATGCATGTCTGGCTGCGTGTATGGACATGCAGTACTAGTGAAAAGAGCCTCATTTAATTTTTTTTTTAACTTTTTGCTAGGATTTATTGACACATAATTTACCCTTGATTTGACTTTGAAAAATAAAACAAAGTTCATGTTCCCAAGATGTCACCCACTCTGAAAGATGGAGTAACGAGACAGAACATATGGATGGGGCCTCAGAGTTGGGCCCAGAAATTCAGACGGGTTGCTGCAGGCAATCTGTGGTCTCTCGAGAGAACTTGGGTATGTTTTAGGAAGGTTAATTTAGGAGTGGTACCCGGGGTGAATTGGCCTGGGAGGGCCCGGAAGCAGGGAGACCCACTGAAAGATTATGGTCTGATTTGGGGTCCCAGTGACAAGGAACTGAACCAGAGCAAATGAGAGAGGAGAGGAGAGGAGGGGTTAGGAAGATGTCACAGACTGGAGGTAGGGAAACTGACCCCACAGATGACCACAGAGGTGATCTATTGAGTGTGTGGGTGTGTGTGGCGGGGTGGATGGATGGGTAGTTGGGTGGATGGGGCAGGTCTCAGAGGGTTCTGGAAGCTCCTTCTGGATGCTGGACTTGTCTGGAGCCAGCTGGCCTGGTTGGTTAGGACCAGGGATGCCAAGACCAGGCCTTAAAGCTACAGCCTGTGGCTCTGGCCCATTTGCTACAGGTCTGTTCAGGGTACAAAAGACACTTATTAAGTGACAGAGTCTGTGGAGCGGTCCCCAGGCCTCTCCACTGTTCAAAGTGCTTCTGACTGGGGAACGACTGCGAGTGGGCCTTCCCAGCCCATGGATTTTCCTGTGGGCCATGTCTACTCCTCCTCTCCTTATCCTACCCTCCAGGGTGCCCGGTAGCCACAAGCTTTGCACTTTCTGCTCCCTCCGCAAACGGCTCTCAGTTCGAGATCTGAGAAACTTCGAAATTACTGTGAAAGCCTCAAAGGAGACCTCCTTCTTTTTAAATTGCCTATGAACACAGTGGACAAAAGCTTAAACCCAACACGCTCTAGTGTTGTGTTCTGAGCTTTGTCCAAAAAGAGAGTGAGGGGTTGGGGGATAGAAGGTGTGGTTTACTTGAGGACGCAAAGATCTCCCCAAGCTTTTACAAAAAATACTGCTATCTCTAAGTTTTCACAGAGCTGCGAGGCTTCTGTGGTTAAATGGCTCTAAGAAAGCCATTTCACAGAGGATGCATGAGTCACAGCGAGCAGAGGAGGGTGCAGGCCTATCTTTCCCCCTCTAACCTAGGGCCTGCTTTTATTTTGATGTGTGCTAATTCCGGGCTACTTTCTACCTAAGGATGCTTTTCCAGTGTCTGGTCGGGTGGCGGTGGGCACGTCTGCAGGGAGCCCCCTGGAAGCCCCAGACGGCTCCCGATCCCCAGAGTGTCCACATGGTGGCGTACGAGGTCCAAAGAAGTTCCTGGAGGCACCCCGGCCGCGCCCGCGCCGGGACGGTGTTTCTCCCCTGAGGAATCCGCAGGCAGCGCGACCCGCCCGGAGCCCGGAGCCCGGAGCGCGGAGCCCTCGGAGGCCCAGAACGGGGAGCCGGGTTCACAAGTCTGGATGGGCGAACCCCAAAGCCACCAAACACGTGTGTCAAATGAGAGCTCAAGGAAAGACCAATACTGACAGGGCCCGGGTGGGATGGGGTGGGGTGGGGTGGGGTGGGGGGAGCACAGAGTGTCCCTCCCCCCACTCCCCACCCCCGCCCCCCAGAGGGACCTCTAGCCCAAGTTGCAGCCTGAGGGATGGTGTGAGAGGGGAGTTGCTTTGAGACTCTGGAAAAGTTGCTTTGAAAAGGGTCCCCTTAAGTTAACATCGTTAAAAAGCAGGACAAGGTTTTTCTTAAACCTTCTTGGCTGGTTCAGGTGCAGAGGCAGAGGAATGGATGAAATGACCTGGCGGCCCTCCCTTACAGTTTGAGGATTCAACTGGATGAACCCCCGAGTCCTGCGGGACGCCACCCTTTTTTCCCACAGCCCGGAGTCCAGGAGCAACCCCGCGAAGGGTCAGGGTTAAAGAGGAGGGTGGGGGTGGTGCAGGGCGGCCTGTCCGCTGCCCGAGGAGCTGGCTCTTTAAGGCCGGGCCCAGGCTGGCTGGGAACAAAGACCCGGGAATGTGGGCTGGGCCAGCCTGCAGAGCCACCCAGCGTGAGTCATTTATATTTCTTGGGACTTGGGAATCCCTGGCTCTTGCCTCCTCCGTCCTCTGGCCCTAGCCCTAGCCCCCTTCCCAAGCGGCCCCTAGCCCCCTTCCCGAGAGGCCCCTGGCCCCCTGCTGCAACCTGCAAGGCCGGGCTGCCCCGAGCCCGGCATGCCCTCCACCGAGCTCCTGGCCCCTTTCCTCTGGCTCCTCAGAGCAGGGCGAGGGCCTGGGGGTTAGGGCTCCCGGCCTTGGGGCCCAGTTCTGCCTCGAGGCTTGGCACTTTGGGCCTCAGTTTCCGCATCTGTGACAGAAGAGGAAAATCCCATCTTTGCAGCTGGGGAGGCTATAGGGAGACAGAACTCATTCCATCTTTGTTTCTTCCCAAAGAAAAGAGAACTCCAAGCTCTTCTCATGTTTTCCTTCAGTCTGAAAATTCTCAGTGACTTTCAGTGACCCTCTCAGTATCTTCTGTCTTATTCCAGCCCACCCCACTCAACCCGAGGACAGCAGCAGACCCAACCAGAGATTACAAAGTCCATGCTTAAAATGCAGATGCCTGTGGGAAAGGCAACCCATCAAAATCAGGCTGGCCAATGACACCTGACCGCCAGGAGGATGGGGGTTGGTAGGAAGTTGGAACAGAGGTGGGTGTGGGGACAGATGGGGTTAGATCCAGAGTCCCATGCTGGAGCACCACGGGGGGTCTGGGCACCAAGAGGACATGGATCTGCTGACCCAGGTGGGATGGAGCAGGGGGGCTTGGGGACAGCCCAGATCCACTCCATAATTTTCCCAGTTTGCCCACTTCCTGGGCCTGCCCCAGCACAATCACTTCCTCTCTCTTCCTTGTCCTCCTCTCTTGTTTCCACTCAGACTATCCTGCTTGTCTTGCCAGGTCCAGCTCCTGAGGCTGGTGTGGATTCCAGCCCTGGAAGTCACCGACTGCTCCATTGTTCTGCCAGACAATTATGGGTCCCTTCATCCTTGTTGACCTATCTTTTTGTTTCTTTACAAAACTTGAGTTGGATAGGAAAGGAAGGCCTGTTTTAACAGAAAAGTAAACAAACTTTTACATTGTTCATTGACATTATGGTCAGTGGGGACCACAGGCTCCAAGAGATCATTCTGTCCTTTCACAGAAGCAAGATTTCAAAGGGGTAAGTAACTGTCCCACCACAAAGCCATGGAGTGTTTGGGACCTGGAGCCTGAGGCAGGCAGGGAGTGCCCTGCAGGGAAAGAGCGGGCTGGGAGGTAGGGCCTTGTGGCAGCCAGGAGAGTATCACAGAGGGCACCCTGGCCTAGGGTTCAAATCCTGGTGCTACTACAAGCTGGAGGTATGAGCAAGCCAGTCGCCACCCTGGGGTGGCTTTTTTCCATCTGTGGGATGAGGAGGGTTAGAATACGCAATTTCTTGGGTCCCTCTGAACCCAGAGTGATGTAGGAGTGGGGAAGCCCCCAGTCTGAGAGTCTCAGGGGTTGAGGACGTTCCCCCCGAGAGAGAGGCAGAGGTCAGGCAGCTGTGAAGCAAGGCCCAGAGGCAGCCAATGAGTCACTTTGCCCCAGGCAGCTCAAGGGCACTGGTGACCAGCCAGTGAGTCATTAGTGTCAGCCCTGAGAAAAGCCGTATGCGTGTCTCATCTCCTTGTGTATCCGCTCGTATCAACGCCACAGACAAAAGAGGCCCAGAGGAGCCCTTGCCCGTTGGCCCTTCTGTTGGTCTCAAAAGGACTGACTGTCCAGAAAGGCCAGGCCTCTCCTGAAAAGCAGATGGGAATGAGCCAGAAGGCTGGTTTGGGAAAGAGCAGATGCCGGCCCAGGAAGAATGATCTGTGTAAACATTTGGCTTGGGGTGGCCGACTACGCCAGTTTGCTTCAAATTAGGTGCGCAAGATCCCTGATCCTCTGTCAGAATTAAGTTTGAGAGGGTGCCTCGGGTCCGTCTTAACTGTGCACAAACTCATTTCCCTGGGGGACCCTAGTTGTTCCCACTGACAGAGGGCTTACCTCGTGCCTGGCAGAAGGTTGAACGCGGGACATGAGTCATCTTACTGAGTCCTCTCGAGAACCCTGGGAAGCTGGTGAGGCATGATTGGTGTAGTTGAAAACTGGAGGCTCAGAGAGCCAAAGTAACTTGCACAAGGTCACACAGCACAGTTTGTGTCCCCGTTTTCTATGTGCCAGACCCTATACTGTGAATCCTTACTCCACCAGCTCCCAGAAGTTGAAGGCATACTCCCTACCTCCAAGGAGTCTAGGTTGGAAAGATAAAAGACGTGTATGAAGAGGAA